AACCACACTTTATCATGTAGCAGCAGATGCATGACAAATAGATCCAAGGAGGTGATACTTCCACTCTATGCGGCATTGGTCAGACCGCAGTTGGAGTACTGCATCCAGTTTTGGGTGCTGTACTTCAAGAAGGATGTTGATAGATTCGAGAGGGTCCAGAGGAGGGCCACTCGTATGGTTAGGGGCTTATAGGACAAGCCCTATGAGGAGATGAGGGATCTGAACCTCTTCATCCTCTGCAAGAGAAGGATGAGAGGTGATCTTGTGGCTGCCTACAAATTCATTAGGGGGATGCAACAAGGGATTGGAGACGCTCTGTTCACCAGGGCGCCTCTTGGGGTAACAAGGAACAATGGCCACAAACCAACAGAGAGCAGATTTAGGGCAGATATCAGGAAGAACTTCTTCACGGTAAGGGTGGCCAAAATTTGGAATGGGCTTCCAAGGGAGGTGGTGCTCTCCCCTACCTTGGGGGTCTTTAAGAGAAGGCTCGATAGGCATCCGGCTGGGGTCATCTGACCCCAGCACTCTTTCCTGCCTAGGCAGGGGGTCAGATTCGATGATCTGTTGAGGTCCCTTCTGACCCTAGCATCTATGAATCTATGGAGGTGCAGGTGTAAGATCCAGGAATGCTGATGGTTCTATTGTGGGGATAATGGAGATGTGTTGACAGGTTTTGCATTTCTTGTCATGGCATGGTCCAGATCCATTGGGTGTGGCTTGGGTAACAGGGAGTTTGCTTCTGGTGACGAGGCTAGCAAGGTTTGGAGCTTGTTTAAAGGCTAAGATGGGTAGTTCTGGAAAGATCTCTGTAAGAATCAGGTCCTGTTCTAGTACAGGTTGCAGTTGTTTGAGGATTTTCTGTGCAGGTTCCAGGAAAGAGTGATATGTCATAACTAACAGCGTGGGATTTGTGGGGCTTTTCTTTTTGTACTGCAGCAAATCTTCATGTGGTATCCAGGTAGCTCTTTCAAAAGTGTGAGCTCTCTCTCTGGAGGAGTGTCCTTGTTAGCTGAAGGCGTTTGAGATTTGTGAGGTGGTGATCACAGGTATTCTCCTTGCTGCATATTCAGTGGTATCGGAGAGCTTGGTTGGAAATTACAACTTTCTTGGTGTGTTTAGGGTGATTGCTGGTTCTGTGTAGGTATGCATGTTGGTCCGTGGGTTTCTTATATATGGTGGTGGGAATTTTACCATCTTGGATATCGATCATGGTGTCCAAAAAGGAAATGCTAGCGTTAGAGTATTCAAGCGATAGTCTGATGGAGGGGTGATGATTATTGAATTTTTGGTGGAAATCAATCAGAGACTACAGGGTTTTGGTTCAAATGATGATGATGTCATCTATGGAGCTTACATATAGCATAGGTTTGACAGTGCAGTTCTTGAGGATTTTTTCTTTTAGGTGTGCTATAAAAAGGTTGGCATATTGTAGGGCCATTTTGGTGCCCATAGCTATGCCTATGGTCTGGAGGAAGTGTTGGTTCTTGAAACTGAAGTTGCTGTGTGTGAGGATGAAGTATATGAGTTCAGTGACATCCTGAGGTTTGTGCTCTGAGTTGTAATCTCATTCTTGTAGATATGAGAGGCAGGCTTGTAGATATCTGAGACCAGCGGAGACTCCCTATGCCTGAAGAAGGGTGACTGCACCCAAAATCTTGACTAGAACTTTTTTCCAACTACTCAGTTGGTCTAATAAATATATCACATCTACTCAAAGAACCTTGCCTGCCTATGTCCTTAGACCAACATAGCTACAACCAAAAATTTGGGCAAGATCAGACACTAGAATGAACACCCCAGTGAAACTTCCAGCCTGCCTTGGGCAGCAAACTCTCTTCATTCACTTTGTAAACTCTGCAGCAGCTCCATTTATGTTTTAAAATGGGGAGGCAGGGTGTAATTAAATAAGAGAAGGGATCACAGGGCCAGAGCCACATGCCACAGGTATACCACTATTCAGTTCAGACTATTCAATGCCGCCTTCACAGTTTTGGGAAGCTACAAATTCTGCTATGAGGCCATAAACACATGGGAAGCTTGGGGGGAAGGGGGGCAGGGGACAGTTGCAGCAGCTGGGAAGGTGGGAGAGGCCGTTGGGAACAGCAGAGTAAGGCTCACCGGCTAGAGGCGTCAGGAAAAAATTGTCAGCAGTGAAACAGTTCATATCCCCCTGTTAGGTTACAGAGGCGGCCGTTTCAGGCGGCCTGCACATTCAAGGGGCCACTGCTGCACTGTTGCACCCGGTCAACCCTGGAGGGCTGTCAGTGCCATCAGGGCTACAGGTAGGTCTCGATGTCCACATCATTTCCCGTGCCCCCTCAGGGAGGGGCAGCCCCAAGCAGGCCCTGCCCCTCTCGTCTCAAATGCCAGAGCGAGGCTGCTAAGTGGCGCCCCAGTAGCCCGCAGTGCCGGCGCTTGAGACTGGCTGATGGGGATGCCCCGAGAGGCTTCAGCAGCACAGAAGTGGGCTTGGCCCCGGAGCAGCGGCTGCCTGGGAAGCGCCACAAGCCAGGAGCACGAGCAGGGCGCAGGCTCCTCCGGCGGGACGGCTTCACGGCGCCCCGCAGCGCCTCCAGACCGAGCGAGGCTGCGATGCCATCAGCCCCGGTAGCCAGAGCCCGCTCGCCGGCCGCTTGCACCTCCCTACCATCAGCTCTTGCGGGCTCCGCGCTAGCGCCGGGGCGGGCTGGCACTGAGGGGGCGGGCAAGGCTCAGAGCAGATCCGGGCACGGAAAGGGCCGGGCGGACCAGCCACGCTCCGCTCCGCTCCCGCGCCCGGCCCGGCCCGGCCCCGCCCCTTCAGTCGGGGAGCGGCGCATACGTCACCGCCGTCACAGCCTCCCGCTCTGCCCCGCCCCCAGCTCGGGGCCGCGCGGTGCATGCCGGGACGGCCGAGCG